CAGCTCACAGCCTGGAGCCTACTTCGGATCCTGTGTCTCCCTCTTTCTCTGTCCCCTGCTTGCACTCTGTCTCTGTCTCTCAACAATAAATAAACATTAAAAAAATTAAAAAATAAATTTTTTTAATGTTCATTTATTGTTGAGAGACAGAGAGAGGCAGAGTGCATATGGGGGAGGAATGCAGAGGGCAGAGAGAGAGGGAGACATAGAATTGAAGCAGGTTCCAGGCTCTGAGCTGTCAGCACAGAGCCCAACATGGGGCTCCAACTCACAAATCTAGAGATCATGATGTGAGCCGAAGTCAGATGCTCAACCGACTGAGCCTCCCAGGCGCCCCCTGTCAAAAAAATTTTTTTAAATAAAATGCTATTTCCTGAGACTACTGATCCTTAGTTGTAACTTAGCTCTAAGAGCTTTCACCATTTAGTTCCTTCTCTTCTCAAACTGCTTTAGTTTCCTAAATCAGTTTTGAAGAGTGCTACCCAGAAATGACTGTAATAATACTATGTTTGGACCTCCCTTTTTAAACCCTTTTGGTTAATATAACAGAGATGTTCTGCCAGTCACACTTCAAACCACATTTACATATTCCTAAAACACTTTTTTACACATGCTTGTGTTATATTCTACCTCTCTATCTAATCCTGTATTTTCAGATTTATAACATATATTCTTATATATAGTGCATCATTCCAGCCTGTCAGTCTTCATGGATCCTGATATTGCCTTCCAAAAACTGTATTTCTTAGCTGTTTTCTTTTATCTTATTAGTTTATCTTACAGAAAGTAAACAATAAACACGTTTGTAGAACTGAATCAACAGTGTATCAGGGTGTCAAGGGACTGCATCAATCCTGGGTAATGTAGGCCTCCCATGGCATGAGGTCCCTCTAAAATGGGTTCTCAAGACATGAGTTTGAAGTCAACTCTGCTGCCAGTAGTGCTAGTCTGAGCCTAACATTCTGTCACTGGCTTACAGCTTCTCAGTTCCACAATTCTTAGAGCTAATCATCCAAAATTGGTACTTTGCTTTACCATAATGTATTTTATTTACAGGTTGTTCATCCTAAGATTACTTTAATTAGTAAAGCTTTTATCAAGATTAATTTGCATTCCCTAAGAAAACGTGATCTACTGATGATAAAGGTAGAGAAATCAGACTGGATTAAAAATGTATCATCTATATAAAACAGGAATCAAACTTGTATATAGCACTCTAGTTATAAAGAGGTCTCTTATTTTTTTTTTTTTTAATACAACACTGAGTTCTTTCTTGTTATTGCTGCCTGGCATCGATTAATCTCACTAAATATTAGCTATCATTTTTTCTAGCTATGTGAACCCCAGAATGTTCCTTTACGGCAGCCACTGTCCTTTACCTAACCTACTCTTACACTCCCTTTCCTATCCTGAACCCACACTCCTGTTCGTTCTTCAAGTCTTCAAGATTAATTTAACAGATTCTCTGCTTTGGAGGCTCAGTGATATTATAATAAGACATGCAGGGAATTTTACAAAAGAAACACATTGCTATTCAGTGGATTTGCATGAACTCCCTTCCAGTGTAACAATCATTCCTCTTCTCCCACCCTATGCCCAGCAAGATTCATCATTCCCCTTCAGGTTCCTTCTAGTCCTTCATTAAATTCTTCTCAAATTAATTTCTAACCATCTAAAGCTTTCATCTAGAGCTTTCAATTAACCTTCTGTCTCTGACCCTGCATTCCCCTACCTATAGAGATAGTAAAAACAACGGACGATATGAAAGCAAACAAATCAATATAATTGAAAAATACTGAGGGGTCAAGAAAATGAAAGCCTTTCTGGAATTTAATCAGCTTGTAAAAGACATTCCTAAGCAAAAACAGAAAAAGGAAAAAGAAAACCAAGTTGGATTCAAAAAGGTAGCTTGAACAATGACAAGAAAGAAGAAAATCACTCTCTCTGTTACACTGGTCTCTGAAGAAATTCCAGCTAGTTATCCAAGGATGAAAGAACACTACAAATCAGCTGGTCCCTTTTCCTCTTTAAAACCAAAACAAAATTAATTCAACAGATCCTTGTTATCTGTTGTCTATATATGGAAAAAAGGGTGTCTCCAGATCATTATCTAAAATTTACTCTTCCATTTAGTAGGGACACCTAGTAGCTGACACAGTAAATTATTTTTACCTCATCTGATCTATTTTTAATTATCTCTATAAGTTGTTTAAGAAAATTTTTAAATTACACTCAAACAATGAACTAAAGTTTAATATGTTAAATTGGGATGCACCCCCCACCTCACACCTAAAACTCCAAGGGCACAGGGTGGTAAAAGTTATGAAGGACAAAGCTGAAGCATCTCAAGTTCCATTCTCTTCCTTGTTTATAGGACAGAGCAGCTCCCGTTTGAACAAATCCTTCTGTAATTTTGAAAGGCTTTCAACTGGTTCTTCAACTATAGCACAACCCATTGAATAGAATTAGAAAGAGGATGGGCTGAATCAAAAGAACAAGTTTAAAGCAACCACAACACTTTGCATGTGTGTCTAAAAACACTCAGGAGATGACTTTACAGTTCCTATCATGGCCCAAGTTTCTTCCTTTCCTCCAGAACATACATGAACTGTGTGCTTTTTAAAGAGATCTACTGTAAGAAGTCCACACACACACATGCCCCAGCGAAAGAAGAGAGAAAGCATCAGCTTTGGAAAGCAGGGATTTCCAGAAGGTCTGAAGATGTGTACAGGTATACGAGGGAGAAATCTGAATACCTGGTTGTTGATGTTGACATCAACGCTGGGACGGGAGGACGGCAATAGACTGCTTTCCAACTCAAGGTGTCTGAGCTTCTCTGAGGCATCTTTTAATGCTGGGAAAAAATGGCAACATGGCCCCTTAGTCTGTCAATCTGTCACAGCTGTGTGAGGTAATACACTTAAGTTTTTTTCCCCAATACCAGTTACCAAAAATTAAATGGAATAATCCAGATCACCACAGAATAAATACATTTTCTTTCTAGAACCAGATAACTATTAATTTAAAAGTTAACCCAAACAGGGGCGCCTGGGTAGCTCAGTCAGTTAAGCATCCAACTTTGGCTCAGGTCATGATCTTGTAGTTTGTGGGTTCAAGCCCCGCCCTCATCGGGCTCTGTGGTGACAGCTCAGAGTCTGGAGCCCACTTCGGATTCTGTGTCTCCTTCTCTCTCTGCCTCTCCCCCGCTCGTGCTCTGTCTTAAAAATGAACATTAAAAAAAAAAAAAAAAAAAAAAAAAAAAAAAAAAAAAAAAGAGCATGTTGGGGAGCCTGGGTGGCTCCGTCGGTTAAGCATCCAACTTCGGCTCAGGTCATGATCTCATGGTTCGTGGGTTCAAGCCCCGTGTTAGGCCCTGTGCTAACAGCTCGGAGCCTGGAGCCTGCTTTAGATTCTGTGTTTCCCTCTCTCTCTGCCCCTCCCCCACTTGCACTCTGTCTCTCTTGGTCTCTCAAAAATGAGTAAATGTTAAAAAAAATTTTTTTTTTAAAAAGTGTGGATAACTGAGTCCCAGTTGGCCTTTAAAAGTTAACCCAAACAGGAACATTGCCCTGTATCTACAGTACTCCTAGAGAGCCACTGGATATGGAATCTCAAGAGCATGTGCAGTTCAGAAGCCCTTACCAGCCAAAATATCTGAAGAAAAGGCAGAGAACACCTGTGACACGATCCTTCCACAACCACAACCCAAGCTCCTCCTGCTGACCTCAGTACTTTGCCTTGCCACTTTCTTTCCTCGGCCCTGACTATACGCTGCCTAAAACTATACTTTTATGAAGCAAACAGATGGAGGACATACATTTATTCACTGACTGATACAACATATTATGTATTGATAACACAGGTGCAATGCAGGAAAAGCCTTCTGTCTCTCTTATGTTCCACCTAGCTGCAAAACACATTACAAATAAAGTTCTCTAACCACTGAAAAGATAATATATTAAACACAATTCACCTTTAAACGAACTCTATTTAAATTAGCCACTCTGTAATAATCTTATTTTGCAGGGACTAATCTGGTATGAGTTTGAATTTTCACACAGTCTCGTGATAAAGCAAGCTGTTGAATGCCTAGTAATTTTTTTTTTTTTAATTTTAACATTTACTTATTTTTGAGAGACAGAGAGAGGCAGAGCATGAGCAGGGGAGGGATAGAGAGACAGAGATACAGAATCTGAAGCAGGCTCCAGGCTCTGAGCTGTTTGTTAGCACAGAACCCAATGCGGGGCTTGAACTCACGAACTGCAAGACCATGACCTGAGCTGAAGTCGGATGCTCAACCAACTAAGCCACCCAGGCGCCCCATGCCTAGTAATTTCTATTAAATTAGGTAGAAGGGAGGGAAAAACTATGAAATCATTTTCTCCTCGTCAAAGGGATCTTATAAAGTGTCCATTCATTAACTCAGTGGATCCCTCCCATGGCTATACATTAAAACCAGATAGGGAGCTTTTAAGGAATACGGATTCCCAGAGCTGATCCTAGTACGATGATAACAGAATTTCCAGAGATAGTTTTCCAGTACTGGCAGTTCTTAAAACTTTTCCAGTAATTTTAACGTACAAAATCACAAATTCAACACTGATCTTCCCCAAATCCTCCATTTTCGTTTATGTACTTTAATTGCCATCTCCTGGTTTTCTTAACGCTTCTTTATGCGATACTAAATTTTAAACATGATGATGTTGAGACCACAAATACTTTAGCTTATGCTGATAACTTAATACCCCCAAAATTGGGATCTGGGGGAGGGGGTTCTGGCTGAAATAAAGCTTCTTGTGCTACTTCTGTTTGTCTGAGGAACATCCTAAAATTACAGCATGTTTTTAAAAAAGTTACCATGTATAGCTACTTACCTATGTGAATCAGGATTTTGATATTATAGCCAAAAGAAAATACAGAATAAATTGGATACCAAGATTATAAAACCTTAATTCCTAATATCAAAACACTCTATTTTCATTGAGTGACTCTGAACACGTTATAAATGTGAACTCAGTAAGTCTTATTAATGAAACCCCCATGCTACACAAGAATTTCTTCTGTCACAACTTCAACATCATTTAAGCTCTGTTTGAATACCTTCTGTAATGAGGGGCTCACTTCCTGTTAGGTATCTTAACTTTTAAAAAGTTAAGCAGCACTCTTCCTGGATTATTTATTTTTGTGGGTCTGGAACAACAGTCCTCATTAGTAACAAAATACTTCCTAGGAGCTAATGGAATGTCCGAACATCTATTAAATCCTGTGTTATAGGAAATCTTTAAGGAAATTTTCTCTTAATTTACACTTAAGAAACAAAGTAAAAAAAGCAAGTTTGAGAATTCATGAATGCTTAGGGTTCCTGGGTGACTCAGTCGGTTAAGGTGCTGACTTCAGCTCAGGTCATGATCTCTCAGTTCACGAGTTCAAACCCTGCGTCAAGCTCTGTGCTGGCAGCTCAGAGTCTGGAGCCTGCTTTGGATTCTGTGTCTCCCTCTCTCTCTGTCCGCCTCCACCACCTCCCCCCCACCCCCCCGCTTGTGCTGTCTCTCTCTCCAAAGATAAATAAACATTAAAAAGAAAAAAGAAAATTCATGAATGTTTAATGACTTATAAATGACACAAATGTTTAATTTTTTTTTTAATGTTTTTATTTATTTTTGAGACAGAGAGAGGCAGAGCATGAGCAGGGGAGGGGCAGAGAGAGAGGGAAACACAGAATCCGAAGCAGGTTCCAGGCTCTGCACTGTCAGCACCGAGCCCAACGCGGGGCTCGATCTCACGGACTGTGAGATCATGACCTGAGCCGAAGCTGGACACTCAACCGACTGAAACACGCAGGCGCCCCAAATGACACAAATGTTTAATTGTCCCAATTATGTAATCTTAACAATTTCAATGGACCCTTAAGCCAAAAACAGGCAAGAAGGCACAACTATTCTTCCTTAAATTTTAAAATTCAACTATTGCATAAAACATTCTTGAAGGAACTGATTTAAATAGCTCACTTCAAAGGGATGTAAAATAAAAAGTTGTCCTTGATGTTATACAGAACATTTACTTACTCTCGCACTCCTCTTTAGGTTCCTCTAATCCAGTTTGCCCGGTGACTGTGTTAACTTCATCTGGCACTTGGGGTGTTTCCAGAGTGTCAGGTGCCCCAATTAGATCATCAATGGTTGTTTCCATTAAGTCTGGACTATCTAGCAAATCAATATTCAGAGGCAAGCTGTAAGGGTGAAAGAAAACTAACTTAGATCAAGAAATTTATCATGAATTTAAATACTAACAAAAATATCCTATGAAAACAAATCCATGTAAGAGTTCATATCCCAACTGATTTAGTCATCTGTCAAAACCTTTTGGGCAGACTTCTCTTCCAGCCAAAAATGGCATAAAAGGGACTAGATTTAGCACCCCCCCTCCCCATACCCCAAAATAACTGAAGGAGAAGAAAAGAAACTATTTTTAAGATATTTCGGCATCAGATAACACAGGCGATTTAGAAAACAAAGATGGTAAACTCTATGACGGCCTTGAGAGAATTCCCATGCAGTGGTGCAGAGGTGAAATGAGACTGGGCATGGAGGACCTAAGCTGAGAAGACGAGGCTCACTCTGGGCTACAGGGCCTACTTCCACAGACTGTAAAACACATAATTCACAGGGTACTGAATACTCAGAAAGGTCTTGCCTCAGTAGTGAAGAATAATCAACCCACACTGGGCATGGCAATGGACCCACCTAACATATCATAAAAATAAGACCTGAAATGCTCATATTGTTTCTAAGTAACAATTGCATCCCAAAATAAAGCTCAAGAAGATTTACAAGAAAAGAAAATTATCTAGCATCCAACAAAGTAAATTTCACAATATCAGGCATCCACTGACAGATTACCAAAAAAAAAAATTGCAAATTTAACAGAATAGTTAATCAATAGAAATTAATGTTAGAATTCGCAGAGAAAGACATTAAAACAGTTATTGTAACTACTCTATGTTCATAAAGTTAAGCAGAGACCTAGAAAATATAAAAGACCCAAATCAAACTTCTTGAGATAACGGAGATGAAAAACATATTGAATGGGATTGACAAGAGATTTGAAATTAGAAAAGGCACTGAATTTGAAAGCACAGCAACAGAAATTATAAAAAATGGAAAACACAGAGAAAAAAGAATCCCTCCAAAAAGAAAAGAGTATCAGTTAGTTGTGGGACAAGCAGTGTACTTTATGAATAATTGGGAGTCCCAAAGTGGGAGTGGGACCAAACAAATAGTTAAAGAAATAACAGCTGAAGTCTTTCTAAATTTGATGAAAACTGTAAACCCCCAGATCTAAGAATCTCAACAAACCCTGAACACAAGCAATATAAAGAAAACTATACCAGAGCATGTTATAATCAAACTACTTAAAACCAATGATAAAAAGAAAATCTTAAAAGCAGACTAAGCCATTATGTGGTCAGAGGCATAAAGATAAAGATGAAAGCAGATTTCTCATCAGAAACAATGCAAACTAGAGGGCAGAAGGGGAACATATTGAAATCACTGAAAGAGGAAAAAAAAACCCTACCAACCCAAATTTTACATCCAGCATAAAAAGCTTTAAAAAGCAAAGGAAAAGTTAGGCATATACCAAAGAAAAACGAAAACACACATCCACACAAAAATTGTACACAAATGTTCAGGGCAGCGTTATTCCTAACAGCCAAAAAGTGGAAACAACTAAATGCCCGTCAACTGAAGAATGGATAAATAAGATGTAATACAGCCACAGAATGGAATACTAATCAGCAATACAAAGGTGTGAAGTACTGATCGATGGTACAACACAATGACCCTTGAAAACCTGATGTTAAGGGGAAAAATTCAGAAACAAAATACCATCTATGGTAGGAGTCCACTTATATGAAATGTCTAGAATAGGCATATCCATAAAGATAGAAAACAGATTTGTGGTGGTCAAGGGATGAAGGAGGGATCAGGGAGGAATGCAAACTCACTGCTGTGGTGTAAGGCATGAAATTAAGATTCAATATTAACTGCTGCCTTGACACATTGGGCCTCGCAGGGCTCCAAATGCCTAACCATGAGTTCCCCTACTCTTAACCAGATATGTGCCCCACCCCATCCTGTGGAAAAGTTGCTTGGGCACCTGGCTGGCTCCCTTGCCAGAGGATGTAACTCTTGATCTCAGGGTTTGAGTTCAAGCCCATGTTGAATATAAAGATTACTTCAAATAAAATCTAAGAAAGAAAAGAAAAGAAAGGAAAGAAAGGAAAGAAAGGAAAGAAAGGAAAGAAAGAAAGAAAGAAAGAAAGAAAGAAAGAAAGAAAGAAAGAAAGAAAAAGTTCCCCATGCAGCTGTACTAGCTACATTCTACTTGGTGTTTAACTTAATGAGTTTTACTTCCCTGCCAGCCTATGAAATTATTTGAACAAGTAATCACACCTTCTAGGGGGCACCAGGGGTCACCTCATCCTCATGTTACTATAAAGGCTGCCTCCCACAGCCCATGTTTGTTCACTTTGATCCCAAGTACAACACCCATGTGGCCCTGTATGTTGTGAGGTTTTCCCCTCCGTTGAGCTGTGAGTATATGTAACTGATACATTGCTATCTCATCTGTCCCATGTTGGATGTTGTATGCTCAGTCATCTTGTGGTATTAAGGGTAGGGGATCTCTCCCGAACATGAGAGTGAATAGGAACTGATCAGAACAACTGCTAAAGGGTATGGGGTTTCTTTTAGGGGGACAAAAATGTCCCAAAATAAAACTGTGATAAAGGCTATAAAATCCTACGAACGTATTAAAAACACTGTTTTTTTTAAAGAAAGATTTTCTTTTTTGTGTGTTTATTTATTTTGAGAGAGAGAAAGAGAGAGAGAGAGAGAGAGAGCGCAAACATGCACATGAGAGAGAATTGAGCAGGAGAGGGCCAGAAAGAAAGGGAGAGAGAGAGGGAATCCCAAGCAGTCTCAGCACGGAGCTCTGTGTTGAGCTGGATGCAGGGCTCAATCTCACAATCATGAGATCCTGACCTGAGCCAAGATCAAGAGTCGGATACTTAACCAACAGAGCCATTCAGATGCCCCTGAATGTTCACTTTAAATGGGTGAATGGTATAGTATGTGAATTATATCTTAATAAAGCTGTTTACAAAAAAAAAGTCAAAGTAAAAACACCATATTCACACAAAAGAATTCATGACCAAAAGACCTGCACTAAAAGAACATTAAAGGAAGACCTATAGGCAGAAGTAAAATGAAAAATGTATTATGGAATTTATAATATACATAATAGTAAAATGCTTGACAAATGATAATAAAAAGCCTAGGGGACAGAAATACAAGTATCCTACCTATAGTAAGGTTCTTATGGTATAATATCCCTTAAATGTAGACTGGTAAGTTGTATATGCTAAAGCAACCATTACGGTAAAAACAACACAAAACAAAGACACAAAGAATTACAGCTAAGGACTGAAGAAAAGACATAAATAAAAATTTTTAAAAATACCTGATTAATGAAAAAGAAGGCAGAAAGAAGAAACAAGAAACATGGGACAAACAGAAAATAAATAACAAAGATGACAGACTCAAACTTAATCACAGCAATAATCACAATACATGTAAATGACCTAACACACTAATTTTTAAATGTAGAGATTGTCAGTGAAGATTAAAAAAGTGAAATCCAATTTTAGATTGGATACTGACAATCTAAAAATTTTAGATTTAGATTAGATACTGCCTATCTAAACAATTTAAATATAAACAAAGAGATTAAAAATAAAAAGATAAAAAAGATAGAAGATATATATCAAGCTAACACTAGTCACAAGAAAGTCTGACTGAATATATTGATATCAGAGTATACAGTTCAGAACAAAGAAGAGTGAGTACCTAAAATGAAGATGATCACTTTATCAGGATAAAGGAGTCATTTAGCCAAGAGAACGATACTAAATATTTATGAACTTAATGACAGAGCTTCAAAATATATGAAGTCAAAACTGAAAGAACTACAAAGAGTAATGCACAGATCAATAATTATGACTGGAGATTTCAATACCCCCTTTCAATAACTGATAGAACAACCAGTTAGAAAATCAGCAAGGTAGACTTGAACAACACTAACCACAACTTTACCTAATTGACATTTATAGAATACTACACTCAAAACACCAAAATACACATTTTTCTTAAGTGCGCATAGAATAACCAGTAAGAGGGATGCCTGGGAGGCACAGTCAATTTAGCATCATGACCTCGTGGTTCGTGAGTTTAAGCCCCACGTCGGGCTCTATGCTGACAGCTTGGACCTGAAACCTGCTTTGGATTCTGTGTCTCCCTCTCTCTCTGTCCCTCTTCCATTCATTCATTCTCTCTCTCTCTCTCTCTCTCTCTCTCAAAAATAAACATTAAAAAAAAAAAAAGAATTACCACTAAAGCCATAAAACAAGACTCAATAAATTCAAAAGGATTCAAGTCATATTAAATATGTGTGTTCTTTGACCAGAACAGAATTAAATTAGAAATCCAAAACAGAAAGATCCTTGGGAAATCTTCAAATATTTGGAAACCATTTAAGGAACTTCTAAATAACCAATGGCTCAAAAAAGATACCAAAAAGAAAATCAGAAAAGTATCTTGAACTAAACAAAAATGGAAGCACAACATATTCAAATGTGTAGGATACCACTAAAGTAGTACTTAAAGGAATATTTAAAGGACTAAATATCTATATAAAAGAAGAAAGTTCTCAAATCAGTGACCTAAGCTTATACTTTAATGAACTGCAAAGAGAAGAACAAATTAAATGCAAAGTAAGAGGAGGGTAGAAAATAATAAAGATCAAAGGGAGAAAACAATAGAGAAAATGAATTCAACCAAGAGCTAGTTCTTTGAGAAGCTCAACAGAATTGTTAACTTTTAGCTAAAGTGATAAGGAAAAAAAGAATACGTATTTACCAATATCATGAATGAGAAGGGTGACATCACTATAGATCCTACAGATATTAAAATGGTAGAAGAGGGGTGCCTGGCTGGCTCAGTCAGTAGAGCATGTGGCTCTTGATCGTGGAGTTGTGAATTCAAGTCCCCCATTGGCCACAGATCTTAACTTTAAAAATATATATACATAATAAAATGGTATAAGGGAACATTATGAACTTTATGCCAATAAGTTCAACAACTCAGATGATATGAAAAAACTCCTTGAAAG